ATTTATTAATAAATTTAGGGTTTTTTTCCGGGCATGTTCCTCATACCTAAACAAGTCTAAGAAAACTGTTGATTCACAATTTGTTAATAATAAAAATATTATTAACAAATAAATAACAAAAAATAATGCTTCTTTTTCAGAAAAAATTCATTTTCTACTTATCCTTACTAATTTTTAAGATGATAATTTTTTTCTTTACAAATTAGATCCTAAACTATATTTACAATTACATTTTTGAAATTTTTTTTTTGAATTTTTAATAATAAATAACAATTTTTTGTAATATTTTATAAAATAAAAGTATTTCAGATGAAATTTCAAACCTATTTTCATAAAACTCGTTACTCGGAGGTTTTTGGTGTCGCTGAATACGAATCAAGCATCAGATTTTTAAAATTCAAAATGGCGGATCCAATATGGCGGACGCGAAAATTAAAATTGAACTGAATTTGCTTGAAACTGGTTACTCAGGGGTTTTTGGGGTCGCTGAATACGAATCTGGCATCAGATTTTTAAAATTCAAAATGGCGGATCCAATATGGCGGACGCGAAAATTAAAAATGAACTGAATTTGCTTGAAACTGGTTACTCAGGGGTTTTTGGGGTCTCTGAATACGAATCTGGCATCAGATTTTCAAAATTCAAAATGGCGGATCCAATATGGCGGACGCAAAAATTAAAAATAAACTGAATTTGCTTGAAACTGGTTACTCAGGGGTTTTTGGGGTCGCTGAATACGAATGTGGCATCAGATTTTCAAAATTCAAAATGGCGGATCCAATATGGCGGACGCGAAAATTAAAAATAAAGTGAATTTGCTTGAAACTGGTTACTCAGGGGTTTTTGGGGTCGCTGAATACGAATCTGGCATCAGAGTTTCAAAATTGAAAATGGCGGATCCGATATGGCGGACGCGAAAATAAAAAATGAACAGAATTTGCTTAGAACTCGTTTTTTGGGGGGTTTTTGGGGTCGCTGAATACGAATCTGGCATGAGTATTAATAAATTTATTAATAAACTTAGAAGATTCAAAACGTTCGAATAAAATTAAAGAGTAAAATCAAAAGTGAATGAATCCTGACAATCCACAGTCAGGTAACTCATTTAACGTAAAATCCTCTTCATAGTATTTCTGTCTATAAAAAAAATTAATTTTTTGATACTGAATATAATGTACCATTTTTGACAATCCGATTGAACAAACTGTAGATATTAGTAAAAAATTGCTAACCGATAAGTAACTGAAAATGTCAAACTTAATGCAGGATGTGATGTAAAAAAACACATACAATAATACTGCTTCTACTCAACAAAATACCTTCTTTCAACGTAAAAGCTATATTAACTTGTTGAGAGAATCGTTAGTAATAGTTTCTCGAATGTCGTTTGTTTGAATGAAGTTGATACTTACCTTTGGAGGGATTCGTTCGTGTTAGTCTGTCGTTTGTCATTTGTTTGTTTGAAGTTGGTACTGTGGAGATAATCGTTCGTGTAAGTCTGTTGATTGTGATTTGTTCGATTGTAGTCAATACTCACCTGTGAAGGAAATCGTTTGTGTTAATTGTGTCGATTTTTATTTGTTTGATTAAAGTCGGTACTTACCTGTGGAGAGAATCGCTCGTGTAAGTCTGTCGTTTGTCATTTGTTTGTTTGAAGTCGGTACTTACCTGTGGAGATAATCGTTCGTGTAAGCCTGTTGATTGTGATTTGTCCGATTGTAGCCGATACTCACCTGTGGAGGAAATCGTTTGTGTTAATTGTGTCGATTGTCATTTGTTTGATTAAAGTCGGTACTTACCTGGAGAGAATCGTTCGTGTAAGTCTATCGTTTGTCATTTGTTTGTTTGTCCACCATATTGGATCCGCCATTTTGAATTTTGAAAATCTGATGCCAGATTCGTATTCAGCAACCCCAAAAACCCCCGAGTAACGAGTTCCAAGCAAATTCTGTTCATTTTTTATTTTCGCGTCCGCCATTATGGATCCGCCATTTTGAATTTTAAAAATCTGATGCCAGATTCGTATTCAGCGACCCCAAAAACCCCCGAGTAACGAGTTCCAAGCAAATTCTGTTCATTTTTTAATTTTGCGTCCGCCATATTGGATCCGCCATCTTGAATTTTGAAAATCTGATGCCAGATTCGTATTTAGCGACCCCAAAAACCCCAGATTAACGAGTTCCAAGCAAATTCTGTTCATTTTTTATTTTCGCGTCCGCCATATTGGATCGGTCATTTTGAATTTTGAAAATCTGATGCCAGATTCGTATTCAGCGACCCCAAAAACCCCCGAGTAACGAGTTCCAAGCAAATTCTGTTCATTTTTTATTTTCGCGTCCGCCATATTGGATCCGTCATTTTGAATTTTGAAAATCTGATGCCAGATTCGTATTCAGCGACCCCAAAAACCCCCGAGTAACCAGTTTCAATAGATTTCAATGAAATGAAAAATGTATGACTAAAATGGTTAAGTGTTTTTGAGGCATTTTGGAAAATCATAAAATTAACACTAATTTATAAATTATAAGTAATTTAAAGCATTACTATTTAATTGAATAGGTTTTGCTTTAAACAATTCCAATCAAACATTATAATTTAGATGTTAATTAACAGGATGGTAAGCGTCTTTTAAAAAATGGCTTAAATTAACTCAAACCGTTATTCGAGCGAACGGTTCAAATAGTTTAGAAAATGATTTCAATTCTCTTTATTATTTAATATTGTCTTGAATCCAGTTAGGCATGTAAAACCTTATTTTGATTCTCTTTTTCATAGAAGTTCATATATTTTAGATTAAAAAGATCGTTTTATTAAGGGGCCGTTCAAAAAATACGTAACGCTATTTTTTGGAAATTTGAACCTCCCCCCATGTTACTTAAAAATACTTGCAATTTAAGACAAACAAAATTTGATGTTTAATTTGTTGGATTTGACATAAAATAACTTTTATATAATGAATTTGGTTTTTAATGAAAAAAAGATTTTTTCTTTGTTTTCGATAAATAGAAATTTTTTAAATAGCGTAAACATTAAAAGAAGTTTCTTAAGAAAAAAGCCAGGATTATTGAATTTCAGGGGCGTCGCTGCTAATAGCACTCGATTATGTCTGTGACGAAATCGGCTGTGAACACGTAATTACCTGTCTGTGTTTTGAGATACAATGACGTATTCTTGTCGCTCTTCTATACAGGTACGATCACAGCTCTTGTGAGCAGACTGGGCAAGGAGACGGCATCATTGCCGCGTGCCCACAACCGCACCACAGGAACGGTGACCGTACCTTTTCCCTTAGTTTAATACTTTATAAAATTTTAGAAATGCATTTTAAGTTAAATTAATATTTTACATTCATTTCATTTATTTTATAGTTTTATATTTATTGTTTTTGCTAATTTTTTATTGTTGTTTATTGTTTAACATAATGTTTTAAAATAAATATAAATTTTTTTTAAATATTTAAAAATTTTTTTTAAATTTAATTATTTTTACTTTAATTTTTTTATATACATTTAAAATTATTAAGGTTATTATTATTATTTATTACAATTGTTTTTATAATTAAATTTTTTGATTAATTTTTAAATTACTTTTCGAAATTTTTATTTATTTAATATTTTTTTAATATTTAAATTTAAATTTTCGGTATATTAAAAAATAATTTTTATGAAATTGTCATTTATTTATTTTTCTTAGGTTGTATTTTAGTACCGTCAGTAACTAAAATTTTGCTTTTTTTTAATAAAAATGAATAATTTCTTAAATTTAATAGCTTTTTTTGTAAAATTTATTCTTTTTCATAATAATTAATGTTAACATTTTTCATTTTTAATGTTTAAACACCGATATGGTGGATATCACGTCAAAATTCCACCCAAAAAAAAATGTTGTCTAATTATTCCCAAATTTTTTTTATGATATGCCCTATAGGTTAGTAACTTGTCGGATAAATATTTTTAAATTTTATAAAAAATTGTCCGAGGGGGAGGGGGTAGAAGTTCTGAACTTTTGCGTGACACGCTCTACTTCGATTATTTCTTATAATTAGAGGAAAAATTTTTAGTGCCCATACTTTTTGAATCTTTTAATGCTGGAAACTCCACATAATTTAAAGCCAACGAAGTTATTTTAAGGAACAATTTTTCGTCATTTGTAGGAATATCCTGTCGAGTCAAAAGATTAGAAAAATAAGGGCACTAAAACAAAAAGTACAGAGACAAAGTCGAGAACAGCTAAAGTAAAAAAGCCAACAAACAGAAAAAATAAAATACCAGTTTTGAAAATGTAACGAAATCAGTATTTTGAAATATTTAAAAATTGGAGAAAATTTTTCAACATCAAAAACTAAAAAAAATGGGAAGAAATAAAAATAAAAAAATTTAGGCATTAAATTAGAAATAAAAGTCTAAAAAAAATTTTTTTTTAAATTTTGTTAAAAATTTTTAAAAATTAAATTTTTTATAATTAAAAAAAAAATAAAAAAACTATAATACAGGCATTATATTATTCTAATGTCAGTCTCAACCCTGTAAAATGCAGAAAATAGTTCAATGTAATGTTTTATAAATTAAATTGCGGCGCGACGTCGTGATGCGCAATATTCAAAAATTCATTTCTTGAAAACAGAAAAAACGGTTTTTTGGAAAACAAGTATGTTATCAGAAAAAAGCTCAGCTTTCTTTTAAAAATAAAAGAAAAAATGGACCCAAAGATGCGTAAAGTGAAAATATAGTTTTATTTTTTCAAAATTTGTGTCAAAATAAAAAAATTTTTGAAAATAGACTGTGCCATTCGAAAGCCCATGAAAAAATCTAAAAAACCCATATCCTAATTTTTTTAAAAAAATTTTCCTCTAATTATAAGAAATAATCAAAGTGGAGCGTGTCACGCTAAAGTTCAGAACTTCTACCCCCTCCCCCTCGGACAATTTTTTATAAAATTCAAAAAAATTTATCCATCAAATTACTAATCTATAGGGCATATCATAAAAAAATTTGGGAATAATTGGACAACATTTTTTTTTTGGGTGGACTTTTGACGTGATATCCACTATATGTATCTTAAATAAAAAATTTATAGATTTTCTGAAATGTCACTATCTTTTTGCCAGAAGGTTGTTTTATTTCCCTTTAAATAAAAATTCACTATTTTAAAGTTGTTTTTGTCCAGTCCAATTAATTACAAATAGAATTTTCAAAATATATGTCATATATCTTTCAGCATGATGGCGTTCATATGCCATTCTTGTCAAGCCAGTTTTCCAGTTTTAAAGCAACACCTGGAGCACCATAAATATCACACAAATTTAAGTAGTAGCTTTCACTGCGGTTATAATGGTTGCAAAGAATTTTTTGATACAACAGCGTCCCTCAGAATGCATCTTATTAGAATACATAAGATGTTAATTAAAGAAACAGAATTACAACCTCAATATTTGACTGTTATGAACGAATTTTCAAAGTTTATTTGCAACGTTTCAATATGTAAAAAAGAATTAGATAATTATCCGCTTTTGCTGAAACACCTTAAACAGCATATTTCTCAAGGTTTATCAATACAATGCATATTTCCGACCTGTACAACAAAGGGAAAATATAGTACTGTAAATTCATTCACAAGTCATATATCAAAATATCACAGAAAAGAAAATAATTGCTTAAACGAAGATAATGGTTCTTTGAATAGGGATGAAAATGTTCCCGTACTACATTTTAATAATGTTGAAGAGATACAAGATACGAGCCAAGAATTTGCAGATAGGGAAGTCGATTTACCTGAAAATGTTCGAAATAGTTTACTTTTGCAAGGAGCAGCTGAACTGTTTTTGAAACTAGAAACTCAGTTTACGATTCCAGCTAGTACGATTCAATATATTGTTAAAGAATTGCAGAACATCGAAAAACAGAACTTAGAAACTGAGAAGAAAGTTTTAATGAAGTGTTTAATAAATGAAAATATACCAATGTCCAAAAATGATGAAATTAATAAAACTATTGAAGCTGAACATGCTTTTCTAAGAAACTGCAACAAATTAAAAAGTAATTTTAAACGAAAAAAATTTTATCAAGAAAATTTCACATATGTTAAACCAGTACAAAAATTACTGTGTACTGTAAATGGCAAGAAACATTATTTTCATTATGTTCCAGTCGGCGAAACTATAAAAGCTATGTTAAAAAATAAATCATTTCCTGATATTTCTGTAATTTCTGAAAGCTCGAATGACGATATTCTTAGGGATTTTACAGATGGTAGCGTTTATCGATCAAATGATTTTTTTCAAACAAATCCGGAATCTCTCAAAATTATTTTGTATCAAGACAGTTTTGAGGTAGTTAACCCCTTAGGTTCTGCGAAAGGAAAATATAAAATACTCGCTGTGTATCTTAGCTTAGGTAATCTTCCGGATTATGTTAGGTCTCACATTGATTCTATTCAGTTAGTTGCTTTGTGCCGAGAAAAGTACTTTGATTGCGAGAAGGTTTACGGTACTATAGTGGAAGATATACGAAAAATTGAAATAAATGGACTAGAAATTAAAGGTAAATGTATCAGAGGAACAGTAGCACATATTGCTGGCGACAATCTTGGCAATAATGATTTAGGCGGATTTTGTACAAATTTTAGTAGGTCAATTTTTTTTGTAGGTATTGTTTAATTGAACGAATTAAGGGAATTATACCAATAATAAATGATTCTGCTCCTCAAAACATGCGTCAAATTAATTGTGAAATAGAAGAAGACGATGACATTGAGGACTCATTCGATACATCTGATTCGAACAAATCGTCTGATAATAATTTGGATACATCAACTGATTCAAACGTGTCATCCGATAGTGAACGTGAATACATCCGATTCTAGCGAGTTGTCTGAATGTGATTCTTCTACTGAGGATTTAGAGGAGGAAAATTTAGAAGATTATTATTTTTTTAAAACTTATAGAAAAAGAACAGTCGAAGCGTATCAGGAATCACTCTCACATGTTACTGAAGGCAAACACTTTCAAGGTGTAAAATTTGATTCGATTTTTAACAGACTTCAATATTATCACGTCTGTAAACCTGGTTTGTGCCCTTGTTGTGGCTATGACTTTCTGGAAGGTGTAGTTGCAGTGGATGTTCCAATTTTTACAAAATATTTCGTGGATCTAGAATGGTTTACGTATGCGGAACTAAATAAGAGAATTGAAAATTTTAAATATTCATCGACTGACAGTAGGGACAAACCAGCAAAATTAAAAGAAAATTGTTCTAGATTATCAGGAAGCGCATGGCAAAATTGGACATTTCTAAGATTGTATCCACTCTTAATTGGCGATAAAATAAAAAACTTTGAAGATAAAGTATGGCTTTGTCTTTTAAAATTGTCGGAAATAGTGGAAATAATATTTGCTCCGGAAATTAATAAAAATTTTGTCGCATACCTTCAGGTCATTATCAACGAATATTTGTACTCTCGAATGACCTTATTTCCAAACAACAAGTTACTTCCGAAGCATCATTTCATTAGTCACTATCCAAAATTGATTCTTGAATTTGGTCCCCTTCTAAAAGTTTGGACTCTCCGTTTCGAAAGCAAACACACTTTCTTCAAATCATGCATAAGAAATCTTAGAAACTTTAAAAATGTAACATTTTCCCTTGCTGAAAAACATGAATTGCATCAATGTTTGGTAAGGCAAGGTTCTCGTTTACGCCACGTACAGAGTGTCACAGGTGAAATAAAATTGCAACCGAATTTGTATTGTTTCAATATACGAAGAGCAATTTTTGAAAAGGGTTTAAATAATAATGACATGATGGAATGCAGCTCAGCCATCATCAAACGGACTAATTACAAAAGAGGAGACGTAGTTGTTGTAAGGCAAGAAAGAACACTACCAATTTAACACTGTATTTGGAAAAATTTGCCTAATATTATACGATTGTCAGGAAAAAGTTTCTTTTGAATTAGAAATATTAGAGGCAACTTTTAAACCTCATCTTCGAGTATATGAAATCGGATCCATTTTAAATTACGAATGTGTATATGCAAACGATCTTGAATATTATGAACCACTTCATATTTACTATACGAATATTATTCAACAAGTGCGTTTAAAGCATGGTTTAGTAACACATATTTAAGAATATTGCGAAAAACATTCTTTGCTACTATTTATACTTTACCATATGATTACGATTAAAATTTTAAATTGTGTAAGTATGCTTCTCAAAAGTAAAAAATTTATTATCATGCTAAGTTTGTGACAAGCAAAGCAGTTGCTTTTTATTATCATTTTTCCTTTTTTTGATAAAACTTTAATTTTTCTAGAAACAAGATGTTTCTGTTTACGCTTATAGATTCAAGTAGAAAAATGAGATATTTGGTATCTGCAGACAAAATAAATGACATAATTGAAAAAGCCTGTGAGAAAATGAAATAACCTTCTCACCAATATAAGGTAATTCTATTATTTAGTATTGTTTTTTATTTTTGTTCAACTTTTTCTTGTGTATCTCTATAATAAAAACTATAATTATAACACAAATATAATATTAAATAATCCAATAATAAGTAAGTAATAAGTAATAATTAAAAATAAGAATATTAGATATTATTATTTATAATTAATACTGAATATAGAATTATATATTGTGGAAAAACCCCGTACGCCCCGTTGCCCTGCTCAAAAATTTGTCTAAGTCCAAAAAAAATTTTTGTTGTTTACATTTAATTTGATTTTTTGTTTCTCTTATAGTTCAAATTACATCTGCTGTTTGCGAAAAAAGATCACCCTTTTTTTCCCGTGGAGTGCAATACCGGACTCAATAACTGAAAAACTCGACAAGCAAGAAACATTGTCCTATAGAGACGGTAGAAATTTGAGAAAAATATTAGGCACTAATATGGATGGAAATCTAAAAGATTATAGACGAAGCACTGCCAAGTTATTGACTGATTTATTAGCTGACAAATATCCGGAAGCCCTTTATGTACTAGACGCTAATGGGGAAAAGATAAATGATGGAAGAGAAGTTTTTTAATTAAACTCTATGATCACGTAAATAACAGAAAACCAGATAATGAAAAGAGTAAACGAAAAAGAAGAGCTACAAGTAGTATTGAAGAAAATGACAATCTTGCTGATTTAGGTAATTTTATTTAATTTAATTTAGTAAATTTATAATTTAATTTCAATTTAAGAATTCAATTACAATTTAATTCTTTCATTATTTCAGGTTATATATGCCACGATGAATACGGCTGCGTTGCTTACCAAGTACCGCTACCTCCTGATGAAACAAAATTAACCCAAGAAGAGAAACGCTTAGAGTTACTAGAAAAAAGAATCTTGTGGAAAAATCAGAATCAAGAAGAATTTCTTCAAAATGAAATTGGATCTTTAATGGATAAAACCTATTCTACGCAAAGAATCGACATTAGGTATCGAGAGAGTTTCAGCGAAGTGTTAGTAAAATTGCCGTGTCTGCAGGATGTGCCATTTTTTTAAGCATGCATCTACTTTGTTTGGCACAAATCAAGGAGATATTTGGATTCGAGAAGTACAATCTAAAGGACCTGCTTTATTTTCTTTTTTTGAAGAAGAAATCATTAAAAACACTCAAATTTGCAAAAAAAGACAGGATGCTAGAAAACAAATGGAAAATATCATTAACGAGGCACGCATGGCAAGAAAAAATTTACATTGCGAAACACCCAAAATAATCGCATTATTTTGTTTGCTACCACAATACTTTTTGGAAAAAGAAACTGAAGTCTTTCACTTTCTATTGGTAAGAGCTTTAAAATATTTAAATGAATATTTAATTATTTATTGTATTTTAATTTATGCAAAATACATAAAATTTTATATTTTTCAGGACACATCATTACCAGAGACAGTGCAATCATTCGAAAACACTGAAAGACCTGTCTTCATTATAAAAGGTAAACCCTATTAATTAAAATAAAATTGTTTAAACTATTAAAACAAACAATAAAATTATTAATTTTTCATTAATTTTTGAGATAATATAAGTAATATATTGTTCTTTATTTTAGGAAAATCATTTTTTGACGAAGAAGCAAAAGGTGAAATTTTCTTTGAGGGCGAAAAGATTGTTGAAGCAAAAACGTACTTCAAGGATTTCTTTACCTGTTTTTATCGTACTATATATATGGATATACATACGGCAAAGACAGTGAATTGACTATAAAGTTTATCCAAAGGTAAATATTTTATTTCATTATAAACAAATATTTATTTTTATACCTATATTTTAAGTAATATTTTTTGAAATTTTTAGAGTCTTTCAGAAAATAAGCCCTGAAAAAGGACACAAAAGGGGGAAAAAGGCAAAACGAAATCACCATACAATCAATCCTCAAGTGCAAAAATTAATGAGCAGCATTGGGGTAAAAATATGAAGAGATAAAAATGTCATGATATAAATATTTTTTGTCAGTAATAATTTCTGAATGAAAAATATTTTACTTCCAATAATATTTAGTGGTTTCTTTAAATTAAGCTTCTAATTGATGTTATTATCGATTTTAAAGTTTATAAGAAAAAATATTAATTTATATAATGTACTCTACTTCTATTTGTCAAATTAATAAATATTTTATCAAACAGTAATTATTTTGCTAATTTAATTTGTTATACCAAAATAAATTTTTTCATAGGAAATAACTATACGAAAATTGAAACAAAACACACTAATATAACGCTACAACACTGAAAAAAGTATATTCTAAATTTAAGAAAATCTTCTTAAATACATAGGCGCCAAGAATAATAATTAATATTTAAAATATACTTTTTTCAGTGAATGTATGGTTTTTTACCCATACAATTGTATGGAAAAATTACATCAAAATATACTAATACTAGCTGCGATACCCGTCTTCGACGGGTTATTAGTTATTGTTATTCCTACTTATATATTAATAGCTGCGATACCCGTCTTCGACGTGTTTCTTAGTATTTTTATAGTTTTCCATATTGAGTATTGATTGGTATTTAACCAACTACATTGAAACTAATTTTCTTGATGATTATTAATATTAATTAATGAAGAAGAAAACGAAATTTTAAGGAAAGAAAAAAGATAATGTTTACAATTTTTAAAATCGCCCAAATGTGAAAACCATCATGGCTTAATAACGACACAGTACTGGCAAAGTTGTCACCTAGTCTTGGTCGATATTATTGGGACTACTCTTGTGGTGTTAATTACGGTTTGACGTCGGCAGACGTTATTGGCCCAATATTCACTGCCATTACTTTCCCAGTATTGGCAAAATACAAAAACTAATATAAATTATTCCATTTTTTATTAAGTAACTACGTCCCAATATTGGCAATTATATTTTGCCATCATTGCAGATACAAAATTTTTACTATTAATGTGCCATTACTGAGCTGATCAACGTCCCAATATTCTGAAACTGAAAATACCAACGTTTATTCGACGAAAATTTTTACTTTAGCTAATTGCTTATTTTAATATTAACACCCTTTTAAAAAAATTACAAAAGGATCACGGATTTCCCGAAATTCCTGGAAATTCAACTAAATTATTGTTTCCTCGCCTCGCAAGCATTTTTTTCTCTTAATAATCAGAATCCATTTAAAAAAATTGCAAGAGGATTCGAGGCGAGGAAAGTTGTGATTTTTATTTTTTTGTCACGGATTTTCCAAAAATCCGAGAATTCAGTTTTATCCAATACTTTCAATTACAACTTGCCATCATAAATAGAAAAGTTTAGCCTAATAGTCTGATAATAATGTGCCACTATTGGTCCGTGCTAAGTCCCGTTACCAGCAATGAGACGTTTTGAATGCCAGTATAGGCCCAGTAGTTTTTGCCAGTTTTCTGCAGACATTCACTGAAAAAATTACATTTTAATTTTAAGAAAATCTTAATATTAAAATCTTAATATTCTTATATTCCCCACTTAGATTACGTGGGAAATATTCTTACAATAAGAAGAAAATTAGTATTGTAAGAATATTTCCTACTTAATTTAAGTGGGGAATATTCTTGGCGCATATTTAATAAGTTTTTCTTAAAATTAGAATGTAATTTTTTCAGTGCTGACGGGCCCGTTTTGCAGTCTTAGAATTTCGCATTTGGAGCTTATAAAAAACCATTTATTATCTTTTTTCCGAGAAGCACCACGTGGAGGTGACCACTATTGGTTGTTTTTGGCAAGTTTTTAAATCCCGTGCAGAAATTGCCCTAACAGGGCTCTGACCCCGCATGAAACCGGGAACCCGACCGGGCCCCGGCTTGGTAGCTCGTCCAATCGGGCTTTTCGTCAATATGAAACATTTTTATTTCAGTATTACTAAATTATCTTGGATCATAATTTGTAAAAACAAAAAACATCTTATTTAGAAGTAATAAGTAGGTAAAATCAAAAAAATTAGATATTAATATTTTCAATTTTTATGGGTAAAAATATTTAAACTTTTAAATTTTATATTTAAAATTCCTATTTTTTTCTATTTTTATGATAAAATTGAAATTAAAATTACCAAGAAAACAAATTAATTAATTAATTAGAAAATATCAATACCAACTTAATGCAAGAATTAATTAATATTTAACCCTTTGAGTAGCAGTGATACATTTAATTTATATGAACATTTTTTTGTTAACTTCTGTATAACTTTCTTGACTTTAAAAACTGAATATTGAAACAATTTTTTTGGTCCAATGAGGCAAATTTCTTGCTTTAAATACTGGTCTTTAAATAAAAAAAGTTTAATAACTTTCCATAAAAAGCTTGTTTAAAAATCAAAAATCATCATTTTTGTAGAAAAAATTTGATCAGAAAAATCGAAAAAAATTTCAAAATACGTCTTTTTTTGAAATTTTAGTATAGAAATGGGTTGTATTTATCTAAAAAGTTAGCTAAGGATAGTTTTTCATCCATTTTATAAAAAATAAAAATTTTTCATTTTTTTGATTTTTCGAATTTTTTGAAAAAATGTCGTAACTTTCGTTTAAGTTAATATTTTTTAATCGGATACGGCTATGATTTTAAGTTACGTTAATACCTAATAGACTGCCAAGTTTCACTTTAATCGGTTAAACCGTTTTGAAGTGATGCGCGAACTAAGTTTTGCATACAGACAGACAGACAGAAATTTTTTTTTTTAAATTTTTCGAATTCTCATGTCTCAAAACGAAAAAATATATAAAAATTTTCAAGCTTGGAGCATTGTACAGACAGAAGTCTGATTTTATTAATATTGATAACCATACAATGTATGGTTTTTTCCCTTATAATTGTATGGAAAAAATACCTCAAAATATAATAATATAACCATACAATGTATTGCTTTTCTCCCATACAATTGTATGGAAAAATTGCATTAATATATACTAATATAACCATACAATGTATTGATTTTTTCCCATACAATTGTATGGAAAAATTACATTAATATATACTAATATAACCATACAATGTATTGTTTTTTCCCATACAATGGTATGAAAAAATTACATCAAAATATACTAATATGACCATACAATGTTTTGTTTTTAACCATACAATTGTATGGAAAAATTACATTAAAATATACTAATATAACCATACAATGTGTGGTTTTTTTTCCCATAAAATTGTATGGAAAAATTACAGTAATGTAAGGGTTAATTTACGTTCAGTACATGTATGGAAAATTTACCACAAAAATTTTTTACAGTGTAGGCATTTTCATGTCTTTGCTTTATAACTTCTAAACATGTAATCATTAAATTATAAGCAATAGACGAAAATATTATTTAAACATCCCTTAACGGTGTTCGATGATCTCTGAAGTTTCTAGATTATGTTCGACAAATAGTTATCACCCAACAAATACGGCACTGCCTGGTTTAAATGACGTGAAATTGGTAAACAATCATTTTCGATCGAGCTTTTCTCTGCACACAAGCACATTCGCAAAATCTGAATCCGAACCATCGACACAAATCTTCTTAATTATCCAAATCCAAAATATTTTTTTAAACCTTGAAGAAACGCGGTTGCAAAATGGGAAAGGCCAGAGTAATGTAATGCTAATCATTTTGACAGCTGAGCCTTTATGCTCCCTGCATGCTTCTGCCCTCTAATGGCAAATGGTTGAAACAAACATCTTGCCGCCTGTTATTACATTACTTTTGTTGCTTTTGCATTTCCCATTTTGTAACTGCGTTTCTGCACGGATTAAAAAAATCTTTCAGATTTAGGTAACTAAGAAGATTTGTGTCGATGGTGTCGATGGTTACAATTTCCATCACTGCAATTTTCCATTAAATCAATATACTTACTGATAATTATTCAAATATGTGTCTTCGCAAATATTAACGGGAGCACGACAATGTATAAATAAATATAAATAAACTAGAAAACCTGCACTATTTATATTAAACTTATCAGGAAGTCAAAAAAACATGTCACTTCTCAAATCTCCAAAAAAATTAGGAAACACTATATATTTTTCTTATATTCAAGTGAAAACACTAGAAAAACACTGCGTATTTTTATTAATTCCATTATCGTGCCATGTCATAACTTAAGTATTTTAGTAGATACATAAATAAAAAACCGATAAAAAGTTGAAGATGGATACGACAAAACTTATTGCCAAACCATTTTTTATTTGCTTTTGTTTAAAATATGTATTAATGGATTTTGTACAAATTTCCATTGTCTTGGAGTCCACTGTCATGTCAAATCATTTTTACGTGGTAGGTGCGAAATAAGCACCGTGCCCGTGCCTAAAAGTTTTCTTAAAGTAGGTAATAAAGTTGAAATTCTTCTAATCTTTTTATATATTTTTAAATAAAATTTAAAAAATGATAAAAATAAATCAGATAATTCAATTAATAATACCTATATAGAAAAAATATAAGTTTCAATGCCCCTTGATGATACGCCTCTGATGAGGTTAGTTTTCCTGTTTACTTTTGACATCACATTTGATTTACGCGAAAAGTACTAATTATACGAAAACTAATGTTTATTAATAAATGTAACTTAAAATAATTATAGTTGATATGGATTGTCTAATATAAAAGAACAATTAAACAAACAAAAAAAGCAAAAGTCGAAAAAGAGCGACGTGAAATAATTCGAAATAATATAAAATAATTTTAATTTTTTAATGTTTAAATAGATTTGTAGCGTAACTACTTTAAATATATTTTGTTTAAATGTTAATAAATAGTAATTAATAAAAAAAATCTAATTTTTAAACATTAAAAAAATTTTTTATCAACTTAAAAGTGACCGTTTTTTGAAGAATCACCCATATGCAAATTTATGGGCGGAATCGAGTCAGAGCGAAAGTAAGGATCTGGTAAGGAGGTTTAGATGGGCAATCGTTTTTTCTAATATGGAATTTATTGGAAGTAATTGAACTGAAAGGGGTAAAGTAACGATACCTGAGCGTGATCTCACCTAAATTTGAACGACCAGGACCCACGCCGTCTCCAGACCAAGCCTCCGTTGACGTTTGCCCTCTATCTTCGTATCGTGAAAGCGATACGAAGAGTATTTTTGTTTAATTTATTT